CCTGGAGTTGTAGTGGGCGATTCATCAAGCAAGGTCAGTAGGGTGACTCCTCCAGAAAGATGAGACTGTCCACTCCCATAAAGATTCAAAGTCTGGGAAACCCAAAGGAGACCTCCAGGGTAGTTAGGGGTTGGAATTGGCTTGACAGCAGTGAAGCTTGGTTATAAATGAATGTGTTTGAAAATGCTTTTTAAATGAGCTAAGCCGATCTGACATCTTTCAACTAATAAGATATCTGGAGGAAGATTATTCCATGAAAAGAGGAAGATTAGTGCAAATCCCTGAAGCAGGAACTTCCTTGGTATGTTTTATGAGTAGCCCTTATGCTCATGTTCCTGGAGAAGGCTGTGAAGTGAAAGAACAGGATACGTAGTCAGAGAGGGAATGTGGAGATGAGCGTATGTAAGGCTTCTTGGCCATTATAAGGACTTTGCCAATATTTAAGAATGAGATAAAAAGTTACTCGAGTATTTGGACCAGAGTAATGACATAACTGAGTTTAGATGTTTCAGTAAAATAAATCGGTGGGGCGCCAGGTAAAACATAAATCAATCGGTGGTAGAAACTGCAGTAAACCACACAGCAGAAGATGGATCTATAATTTCCACCATTTCTGAACTTAGAAGTGGTCTGCTTTTGGATACATCTTAATAGATAAAAAACCCCATGGTCACTGAACCAAGTCTGACTCAGCATGACCACATGTGCCACAGAGAAGAGCGGTTCCAAAAAGTGCGCTTGGCTGTAACCTTCACCGTCCAGGAATAGGCGCTGAACTATTTCTCAAAGATACGTGAAGGACTTCAGAAATAAGACTCGGCGATCTGCTTGTGAAAACCTTAAAAACCCTATGGATATCATATAAAGAAAACATTTGAAAACAAACAAACAACCACAACAAAAACCCAAGTAAAATAGACAAAACCTCAATTGAAAAGAAAGTAGAAAATATTAAAAACTAGAACACATTTAAATGGATCATAAGGGGGATCAGATAATAGGGTGCTATATTTTAACCTAACCGCATCTGTTTTACTTTGTTATTCTTGTTAGTTGTTGTTTATTTGTCTATTTGTTTTTAAATGTTTTTCTGTATATGAAATCCAAGATAGGTAAATGTATAGAAACAATCATTGGATTAATGGCTCTTTGGGGCTATGGCAGGACGTTGGGGGGGAATGGGGAGCTAATCACCATGAGTACAAGAATAAAGAAAAAGTTCCAAAACAGAGTGTGGTGATGATTGTCCAACTCTTCTTGAAGTGATTCAAGTAGTGAATTGTATGATACCTGAATTATAGCCTGACAAATCTGTTGGGCGTGGGGTGGAAATAACCATAGAGCAGTTCTACTCTGCATATACTAATAGAATGAGTGGAATCTACTTGAGGACAAGTATAATAATAACAACAATCTGTATGGAGGTTATTTGCCTTTCAGTAGGTTTGAATCATGCACCTGTAGACAGCCACTAATCACTAACTTTTTGAACCACCGGGGGAATTTATTAGAGGTAATAAGAATTGCTGATGGGTTGATGGTAAGGTGTGAAATACATAGCTATCAAAGATATGGTAAACTATTTTTTGCCTTTATTGAAGTGGGAGCAAAGAGCAGATTTGAGATTTTTATTAGATTTAAGTGCAAAAGGTGTATAATCAATGAGAGACATCTTACAAGTTTAGAAATAATAGAGGAAATCTCAACTAGAGGTGTAAATTTGGGAACCCAAAGTTTGTAGATGGCAAGTAAAACCATGAAGTTGGATAAGGTGACAAAACATGTGAGATAAGAGCAATTAGGAGATGCATGAAACAAGGATTCAGATTTTCCAAGTTGTCTGTTTATTAAATCCTGTAGATATGTAGCTACTGCCTTGTGTTTCTTTTTATTCTCCAAATTTAAAACTTTCCTGACTAAATGAAAGTAAATAAATAAAAGTAGCATTTGTGTCCAAATCTGGAAGTAGATAAAATAAACAGAAGTAATTATGCCTATTGACTGATTTATACTATTTACTTATTTCAGTTAAGGAAAACAGAGAGAGAGAAGGGTTTGGAATGCTAAGTTCACTTTTGTATTTGCTAATAAGAAAGGCTAATGTAATCAATTTATACATATATTTTTTTCTCCCAGAGTTTATTGTCCTCGTAACTGCATGCAGGCAAATCCACATTATGCTCGCGTAATTGGAACTCGTGTTTATTCTGATGTAAGTATCCTAATTTATACAACTCTCAACATTCATGTATATGTACATGAACATTCAAATGTATATATAATGTGTGTATGCGTGTACATTTATATGCAGAGTAAAGAACTAGATTCTTTGTTGATACATGCAGTCTCAGTGATTATTACTGAAGAAAACTTAGTTGTCTGTATATAAATATAATTGTGTAATAATTCATTTTGACTCATTTTCTTCTCTATATCCTATCTATATCTGTGAAGTGTTCTGGAGTCATCTGGGGAGGAGAGATGCTTTTTTTAACTTTTGTTTCAGGATTTTAGTACTTGAAACATAAAGTGAACAAATAATAATTTGTTGAACAGGTGAACGAGATCTTCCTTGCTCAAGAAGTATTTTAAAAATACTGGAAAACAAACAAACAGATAATACATTAAAACATAAGTAAAAGAAAGTCAAGGGAGAGGATGCTACCATGGATGAAATTACTGCACTTGGGCAAGGAAGAGTAACTACAATGGCTTAGTTTAGAAGAGTTCTTTGTGAGGCAGCCTTGAAGTCTGGTTTGGTAAAGAATATTAGGGAATGCACTTGGTTGAATGAATGGCACGGATAAGCAAGTGCAGATTAAGCAAATGCATAATAGTAAATGGACTTTCTTGTTTCCAAGGCAATGAGAAGTGGATCAGCTATTTAGTCCAAGAGATGGCAGGGACTTAACTCTGTAAATACAAAGGAGTCTTGGTGCACTGGTGCAATGGCTAGGTGTTTGGCTGCTAACCATAATGTTGGCAGTTCAAACCCACTCAACATCATGGTGAGAGAAAACTTAGTGATCTGCTCTATAAATATAACATCCACAAAAACTTAAAAACTTTATGGGGTACTTCTCCTCTGCCAGTTGAGTTCTCTATTTATCAGACTCAGTAAGCAGTACATAGCAAGCCCAAAATATAGGAGAGCGAGTCCGAAAATGCATGTGGATGAATTAAGATTTCATGTAGTAGGCATTTAGAAATATTACAGATTTAGATTTCTATGCAGTGGCATTACAGAAACAAACCCAGGAGATCTCTTTTTGCTGCACATATTCAACACAACACTATGGAAATCTGATTGAATACAGAGACCTAAAATATTTATGACTATTTTGCTTAGTTTATTAATTTAGGTCTAGTTTTTTCCCTGTTGATCTTTAACTTTGAAATTGTCCTACAAACTTGTCACTCCCAAGCTTTGCATTATTCTTAGATACAGCTGTAGAGTTCTACTAGTAACTTAAATGGTCAGCCTTAAATTAGTGCTTATGTTCTTGTCTCTGCTTAAAATGCATCCAATTTTTCCTCTAAATTTTATATGTCAAAAATCATTGTCATTCTTTCCATCCTACATGATTACCACTTTCTCTGTGAGACATATTTCCAAATCTCCAAGAGGACACCCTCCTATGAAGCCATATACCTCCTATGAAGCCATATACCCTCCTATGAAACCATATACCCTCCTATGAAGCCATATACCCTCCTATGAAGCCATATACCCTCCTATGAAGCCATATACCCTCTTATGAAGGCATATACCCTCTTATGAAGGCATATACCCTCCTATGAAGCCATATACCCTCCTATAAAGACATATACCCTCCTATGAAGCGATATACCCTCCTATGAAGCCATATACCCTCTTATGAAGGCATATACCCTCTTATGAAGGCATATACCCTCCTATGAAACCATATACCCTCTTATGAAGGCATATACCCTCTTATGAAGCCATATACCCTCTTATGAAGGCATATACCCTCTTATGAAGCCATATACCCTCTTATGAAGGCATATACCCTCCTATGAAACCATATACCCTCTTATGAAGGCATATACCCTCCTATGAAGCCATATACCCTCTTATGAAGCCATATACCCTCCTATGAAGCCATATACCCTCCTATGAAGTGATATACGCCCCTATGAAGCCATATACCTTTCTTCCTTTTGGTGTTCAGCAGATTCTTTTGGGAAATGGAGCTTGTTTTATTACTTCTTTTATAGTATTGAGTTCTTAAGGGAGTAGTTGGGTCGTAATGGATCATCTTCAATGGCCTGTGTGTCAAACTGTGAACAAGGCAAGCTTGCTTCCTGCCTTCAAACATAGCTCCGAGCACTCGGTGACATCAGTACTTTACTCATTGATATTTGTGGGGGGAAAATAAAATTGGTAATGTATATGAATGAGCATATTTGGTACCATCCAATATTTCCAGATACATATTTTTTCCCCAGATTGTCCCCTTTAAGCACCAGAAATTTTCATCTTAGTCACATCTGATAGAAATATTCCAAAATATCTTACATTTCTATATATACCTTTGATTATTTCTCTCCTCAATAAGGGTTTTGTTATCCTGAGATCATTTTACTTCTCCATTAGTAATAGGAGAAAGGAATATGTAACATTACTGTAGTTCCTTTCAGGAGTAAGTTGTGATTTTGTCCATTATAACATTCCTTCACCTAGTTTGTTTCTTCCTTAAAATTTATGGGGTTACAACTTGTACAATCTATTACTTTTAAAGCACGTTGAACTTCCATTTCTGTTTTTTAGAGATGAGATTAATTTCTGCACCATTAAATGTGTCTCAACGTTTGCAGAAATTCCTTCTATTTTTTCATGACATATTACTGCTAATAAAATGAAGATAAGAAAATTAATTTTCTCCTAACCTTTGGACTAAATTGAAATGTCTGCTGACTGCATAGTTACATGCAAAATAATCATTTCAAAGCACATTTACTACATAATATTAGGGGACCTGAGAAACACTGAATATATGTATGCATGTTATTGCCTTGATAAAATGTAGATACACCCTCTTTAAAACAGATACATTCTGAAATATTTACAGAATGATCTTTAATCAATCTATTATAAACCCTACTGGATATAAATATTAATTAGATGAAGGATTTAATGATTAATAAAATGCCTTTTAGAGTAAAGATGCAAGGTTTTAGACATAAGATATTTTGTGATATAACTGTAGCATTAAATTAATTAAACCAAGCTTCAAGCCAGTCCATTCCAGGCAGACCAGGGCTAAAAATTTTAATTTCCAACCCAGATATATAAGGGGGCTTTAAAAGTTTATGGAAGAAGCACACCAGCATGTGTGATCATGAGGTATTGACGGAAATACATATAAGAGGTTCAAAAACAAGCAATCGAATTGATGTGAAGGAACATGGACAAAGTAGAGATCCAAAACCCACCTGTAAGATAATTGGATAGTCCCTCACAGAAGGGCCATATGGAAGGGATGATATATCCAGAGAGGAGTATAGCACTGATGAAACACATAACTATCTTCTAATTCATTAATATTTCCTCCCCATATTGTTTTGGTTATTGTTTTACCCCATTAATCATGTTGGACCTCTGTATATTCATTTGTATAATAAAGACAGTTTGATGAAAGTCAAGATTAATAATGCTTCAGAAACAGTAATGGGAGTAATGATTCCCTGAGGGTATGAGAAGAGGGGTGTAGAGAGGGTGGACTGATAGCAATGATGACAATATAATCCCACTCTAGGGGAACAGATAACAGAATTGTAGGTGAACAGATACACTGGATGGTGTAAGATATGGCAAAAAATAAAACAATAATTTATAATATAATATTAAGGGTTCCTATGGGGGAGGATAAATGGGAGCTGATATTAAAGAGTTCAAAAAGAAAGAAAATGTTTTGAAACTAATAGTGGCAGCAATTGTAAAATTATGCTTGATCTAATTGCATTATGGATTGTTATAATATCTTAAAGAGCTCCCCATAAAATTATTAATAAAAAATAAAAATAAGAAAATATTTAAAAGTTCATGAAAAAAATTCCCTTATCTTTCCATTCTATTTTTTCATGAACTTTTTTGAAGCTCCCTCATACTGAAATACAATTAACAAATTTAGCATGACTGCAAGGTGAATCTTAAGTATGCACTTGGAAATCTTGTTAAAATGCAGATTTTGATTCACTGTATCTGGGGTGGACATGCAAATTCCCATTTCAGAGTGGAAGAGAAATGAACTGGTTCAAATCCCTGGATTCAATAGCTTGGCCCTCAGGCTTTTGAGTATGATGCATGCTGACTGATGCCACAGAGTACAGTGATAAGCAAAGCAAGGTGATGTAAGAAGTACAGGTTTATGTGGACATAGAAAGCATATAAAGTCATACATGTGTGCATAAAGATGAGAAAAGAACACATTGGTATGATGAGAAGTGGCCCATGGGGACATGGAAGTGGATTATTTTATACTGAAACACTTCAAAATGTTCATTTTGGGGGGATTTCCTTTGTTTCTACTCAGATAAAGATGCACGTTGGTAGAAAAAATGGTAGAATGTGAGGAGACTTTAATGAGCCAAAATAAGTCATTCGAGTTTTAGAAATGAGAAGTTTTACAGATCTGAGAGTTTGGGAATTGTAGAAATAATTTTGTTCTCTCTAGAGTTCCTATTGAATGTAGATCATGCACCCATCGCCATCAAGTTGATTCTTACTCTTCAGGTCCCTATAACAGGGCAGAATTTCCCCCAAGTGTTTTGACAGTTGTGATCTTTATAGAAGTAGACTTCCAAGGAGTGGCTCATGGATTCAAACTGCTGACTTTTCCGTTTTAAGCCAGTTGCTTAGGCACTGTACTATCTGGGCTCCTTCAGAGTATTAAACAGTTATAAGAATGATGTGTTGAAGTCATATGCTCTGTTCTAACTTCACGAGTGGGAAGGAAAATCAAGATTCACAAGCCCAGGCTGATTCCTATGAGGTGGAGGTCAGACATGCTTCCAGCCCTCCAACCTTTGTACCAGTTCTGAAACCAACTCTCTCTCCATGTCACTCTACTTCTCTGCTTGGTCCAGTAATTCATTGTAGTGGCCAGACGCACAGACAATACTCGTGATTGTGAGATTTATTTGGGAAGTGGCAGGTTAGATAGAATTCAGGATGAGAAATGACTTGGGATACAGTTCCTAAACCAGGACTGCCCCTTCTCAGAAGAGCCGCAGGCTTCCCTCTTTGTAGACCTTCCTCTCTACCCTATGCCTGCTTCCTGCTTGGGCAAGTATTCTAAAGCTCTTTTAGCGCTGATGAGAATTGACTGGAAGCTACTCAGCCTTGCCCTGAAGGCACTCAACACTAGCCCTTTAGAAAACAATCTTAGCTCCACTAAATGTCTGGAGACCCCCTTACTTCCACCGCAAGCCTCTGCCCAGTGGTTCTCAGCTTTGTGGGCTCAGAAGTCCTCATCACCTGTCAGTGTCCAGCTTATCTCCTATTGATTCTAAGCCAGTTTCTCTTCAGCTGCCTCAGACCATCTCTCCCCATCTCCCACCATTTTAGCAAAGTGTTAAACTTCTTTCTGTCTCCCAACTTGAGGAAATTCTCAGTGCAGGAATCCTGGGTCCAAATACACATTCCACTCCTGGCTTCTTTTTCTTGGTTGTTTTGAGATTCCCCTTTTTGCCTCTTGGATGACTCATTTTAAGCCTCGTAGGATGAGAAAACTGACCAATCCCCTCCTTAAGGTTCCATCAGCCTTATTTTCATAGCGTCCCCCAACTCATTTGGTGGTAGTTACAAAGGCAGTGATTGGAAGGATCACATTAGATGATTCACTGTGTTGTACTAGGACAATGTAATCGTAGCACTTTCTTAGCTATCCGTGCCCGTTCATTCAAACGAACTTAATAGACATTGGGAAATTAGGTTGAAGTTATGTTTTCTTACCTTTTCTTTTTTTTTTAACTTGAAGTTATTCTTTCAAGAAAAAAATCTCTCTATATGCATTGTATTATTTAAAAAGAAGAAGCTCCCCATTTAATATATATTTAAGTGTGATGAAAAGATTTATAGAATTATAGCACAGAACTACACTTGAGTGGTCTCTAAGTTGAGACTGAACATACAAGAGATAAAAAGATCTAACTTATGGTCAGAGGCACCCTGGTGTGGACCCAAAGCCTGAAATTTGAGGAGGTTAAATGGACCTTTACAGAGATCAAAGGAGCCAATTTGTTTGGTTTTTGTTTCCACAACTTTAAAAACCTGTTGTTTTTGAACAGGACAAATATTTGTTTGAGTAGATGGTGGCAGGGTCTGGCAGCCATCTTTAAGACCTGTCTTTAGACTTGTTCGGATTCTGTGACCTTTAAAATAATCCTGTTATGGCCAACATCTTGTTCTGCAGCTGCTCACTGGCTAGCCCAAGAAGACAGATGTGTGGTTTTCATTCCGTGGGAGAGTGGGTTGAACAAAGTCAGCAGGAATGTCCGAATAATGGCAAGTTTTCCTTTCTCCCTCAGCTGTCCAGTATCTGCAGAGCAGCCGTCCATGCTGGGGTGGTCCGGAATCACGGCGGCTATGTTGACATTATGCCCGTGGACAAAAGGAGGGCTTACATAGCATCTTTTCAGAATGGAATCTCCTCAGAAAGGTAATACTAATACTTGCATATATAAAACAGTTGTGTAGAGCTCTTGTACCTGTATTTGTCTTTTAAAACTGACCCGCTTCAATGGGAGCATGCAGTCCAGTGGTTGAGCCTGAATGAGTTCTTTGTGTATTTGTGGAACCGTTGGTTTTCTGGGCATGGGAGCTGCTGCAGTGCCTGAGGTGCCTGTCTCCTGAAGGCTTATAAAAATCAGCATGAAAATAGGATTACAAGTCCGAACCAGTCTTTTGTTAACTGATCTTATAAGAAAGACATTTCTTTCCCTTCCTTTCCAGATTAGTTTATATATTCTTTCTAGCTGGGCATGGTACTAGAAGATTTCTCTACTCCAGCTATCCAGAAAGTGTTTGACTGGAACACTGATCTGATTTTCCTTATTACCTCTGTTTTTCATTGGAAAGTGGATGCCTGGTATTAAAATAAATGAAAACTCTTTCACGTCTTGCATTATGTAACACATCAATGCAATATATTGATTAGGAGAATCTGTGTGATTCACTTTGTAATGTATTTCATACATCTCAGGAGAAAAATATTCCGTGTGTGTGTGTGTGTGTGTGTGTGTGTGTGTGTGTTTAAATCATGGGTTTTGTGGAGTTCATGTTAAACCTGTGTATTTGTATAAATTCAAAGCTCAAACTCACTGCCATTGGGTCAATCATGACTCATACAGGAACTATAGGACAGGATAGAACTCCCATTCTAGGTTTCTGAGGCTGTAAATCCTTATGGAAGACAAAAAAGCCTCATCTGCGTCCTGTGGAGCTGCTGGTGGGTTTGAACCACCAACCTTGCTAGCATCAAAGAGTAACTAACCCAGTAGGCAACCAGAAGGCTGTGTATTTTATAGAGATTCTTATGTGTTGTGTATATTATATAGCTATAGATATTCACTGGCTCTCCAGAATTGCCCACAGAGGGTTCCCATGTGTAGTAAAGTTTCTCTAGAGGCCACTGGAGCAGGTGCTGTGGCAGTTATCCAGAGCCCTTCTATCTGTGACTTTCTGGGTACTGGGTTCACCAAAAAGCCTACAAGGGGAGAGATATTATGTTCTAAGAAAACTGAGGATAGTTTTAACTTATTTTAGAGCATCGACTATAAATGGACCATATGTATGCTGCTGGCCACTTTACACATATGAACTCAGCTCCACCAACAGCCTGATAAAGCCAATAATACAAATTTTAATGTATAGATGTGTCCGTGGAGTCTCATGAGAGTTACATGATGGGTGCAAAGTTAAGCTCAGGCTCAGCATGAGGTCTGTGGGCCCAGAGATGGGAATGTTTCTAGTATATCATTCTGAACAGGAAAAGAAACTCTGTGTTTGTCTGGGTAGACTAGAGAAACAAATCCAGAGACACTCATATGTGTGTAAGAGAGAGTTTTATATCAAAGAGTAATTTTACATTAAGAAAACATCCCAGCCAAATCCAGATTGAGTCCATTAAGTCCAATATTAGCCCATATGTTCAACACTAGTCCATACATACCTCTCTAGACTCACGGAGACATGCAATAATGCCGAATGCAGGAAGATCACAGGCCAGTGGGTGGAAAGTCATGGATTCAGTGGCAGTGGAAGCATGTCAGTGCTGGCAGAGGTCTCCACGTAGCTCCTTCAGCTCCTGGGGCTCTAGTGTAGCTCCATGTGTCTTTTTTGCAGGGATGGGAGTGAGTTTGCGCACATGTCCCGCCTTCAACTGACCTCACGCCTCCAAATGAGGTCGTCAAGCTGTGACCTGATTGACAGGCAAAAATCCACCCCTTCACTCTTAAGTCTAAAATTGACAAAAAATTATGTAACTACCAGACACACCAGAAACATTCATTTGCTAGGGCACTAAGTAGATTTTCTTTCTTGGACTCACCAGGTTGGCCATGTTCTGGTGTGAGACACCTGTGTGTCTGTGGTGTGTGCACATGTGATATTTTGTTGTCTTTAGTGACATTGAATCAATTCTAATTCAGAGTAACCCATAAGAGAGATTAGAACTGGCCCAGATGGTTTCTTAGGCTTTAGTCTTTACACGTGGCCACGGCACACGGCCAGGTCTTCTCTCCTAGGTCACTAATGGGTTTGAACCGCTGACCTTTCAGTTAGCAGCCAAACACTTAATCATTGCATCATGGATGCTACTTTCACTTTGATAAACTCATTTTTCATTCTTGCTAAAATTCTCTCTGCTTTTCTTGAACATAAATAAAAAAAAATGAGTTGCATTTTCTTTCCTTCTGTAGATCTATATTTGAATTTCCCACCTCTGGGCTCTAAAAGTCTTTTGTATTCTTGAGAAAATTAAAAACTTTATACAAAAATACAAAATATTTTTGTATATCTGATTAAAACATTTCATAAATCATATCAGCAATCTGTTTTAACTTTTGTGAATTTACACTAAAATATTTTGAGTGGTATCCTTTAAAGAAACAGAAATTGTATAATAAAAAAGGTAAATTTTTTGATTCTGTACTGCTTTTAAATTGCTTTATTTTATAAACTATCAATATTTAAATGCTTTTAAATTGGTTAAAAAGCCCCTAGAATTAGAGTAAGTCATGTGTGTGTGTGTCTGTGTATGTTTGTGTGTGTCTATTTTAGCAAAGACATTTTCAGTATCTCTCAGACTTGAGCATTAATTTTTCTTGATAACAATTTTTTAAGCCATATTGTTCAAATTTTAATAAGGAATGTCAGTGTGGTTTTATTTTGTTAGACTTGAGAGATATAATTGGCTAGTCTTCTAGAGTATTTCTTTAGTATATAACATACTGTTCAATTGCAGTTAAAAAATGACCCAGGTGGATTACTTGTCAGTCCCAGTTTTTCCCTCATTAGAATAACACTTGCCTCACTCTGCTTTATTAAGAGCAAAGGAGGCAATACATAAAAACATGGTCTGGAATCTGTGAAGTTCTCTGTGGGTCATTGTGAAGACGTTTGACTTGTATGCATCTTCACAGTTCTTCAGCCACATGCACTGCAACATACCCTCGCCCTTTTCAACGACTTACATTGTAGTTGGCCACCTGGAGTCACACAGGTGATTTCCTGACGTTCCTAAGAAGACATGGCTCTTCTGAAGCCTTGTGTGTGGAGATGACACCAATGTTCTGTTCTTTTCTCTCTTTGCAGTTTACAGAACCCTCCAGGGGGAAAGGCATTCAGAATATTTGCTGTTGTGTGAAGCAGAATACTTAGAAGAGAACAATAAAAACTATTTCAAATGCCATATAGCTGAAGTTTGTATAAAACTGTAACATCACTGTACAGAAGGTATCATCTATTTCAGGAAAAAAGTACCAACCAAATGCATTTAAATCTTGATAGACTATAAAATAAGACATGGGACATTCATTTCGGAAAAAGCAATAAATATGTCATGGTTTTAGAAATCCTGTGTTAAATATTGCTATATTTTTTTAGCACTTATTTCTATAGTTATACATAATCATGGTTTTTCTACATTTTTATGTTATATGGTGCTTTTTATATGCCACTAATAAAATGAATCTAAATATGGAATGTGAATGGGCCTCAGAATATAATCTGGTACATTAAAAAATAATGAACTCCCCAAACAGAAACATTATTACATTTTTCAAGCCCAATGCATTAACTAACTAGTCTCCATTTATTTTCAAGTTAATTATTGTACAGTTCCTCTCTTTTGTTAAGTTTAGGCATGTAGAATATTCAGTCCTAATTATTGTACTTCTTTCTTTGTATAAAAGTAATCTTTTACTATCCAGATGAGCAGTTGTTAAAATGCCTGGTTTCTGGGTAATAGACTTCATATTAGTAATAACTGGAAAGAACTTGAAGATTGGTATTAGAAATATTCCTACAGCATATAGGAAGTATGAAGAGAAGCAGAACTTGGTATCCAGAACTCTCTCTGTATTGAAATCGAAGTCACACATTTTCTATTGTACCCTGGCAAATACTCCTGCAGGCCAGGAAGCACAATGGCAGTAAGATGAACACAAATGAATGAATGTATTTCATCACCATCGCCGTTCATTTTTTAAAATGGCAAATGGGCTTGTGCATTAATGTTGCCATGTTAGGGTACCTTTAGTGGTGATATTTTATGTCTGTGAAAAAGATGTATTGTGCTTTGAGACTTAAAATCCATAAAACATTACTTTTGGTAATTTGTGTGTGTGTGTACTGGTGAATTTATTTTTTCCTATTCCTATAAACATTAAAATTAATCATGTTTCAGAGTATTAGTTTCACTTCCTCTTGTAAGTTTAATTTAATGAAGAAAATATTTTATGATAAATGAACAGGAGTATTTATTGTGAGTCGTCTATATTTGCTTTCTTCACATGAATATAAATAGCATAGCTAATCACAGAAATCTCAAAATCAATCTGCTTATTTAAGTACCTATATGCCAAAGGGGGAAGTGTTGTACTATAGAAGAATTTGAATAAAATGAGAAACAAATCTATAAGACAAGAGGAAAGAATATAAAAGATATAACGTGATTATGAAAGAATTGACAAGCGAGTACCTTACGTGCTTTTAGGAAGTAAGTGAGTAGGCATGTAGAAGAAAAGAGGGAGGTAAATAATAGCCAGGGGTATTAGTTTTCTAAGGCTGCTAAAACCAATTATAAGGTGTCCCTTAACTTAAGACATATTTAAGTTACAACAAATAACAAATGTGTGTATATTTTATTGTTAGTAATATGTACTACATATAATGTAGCAGCATGTAATTTGCTGGTTATTATTCTTAGATGTTCTCTTGCCTTTATTTCATGTTATGATTTACCCTCGAAAACATTTCCATATAGAAGACAGTGACAATAATAAAACCAGGCAAAAAAAACAGAGGTCTTCTAATTATATTACAGCAGTCTTATGACAGGGTCATTGGAATACAACCTTATCATAATTCAGTGACGCCCTAGACTACATATTGGCTAGTATGTAGAAATGTATTATATCATAATACTGGAAGCTGTCAATCTGGTGTTATCAGAAGACTTTCTTGCCACTCCTAGCTTCTAGCAGCCACAAGTGTCCTTTGTTTGTGACAGCAGAACTCCAGTTTCTACCTCTGTCCTCCCGTGGTCAGATTCCCTCTGGCTATTCTCTTTAAAATAACAGCAGTCATATTAGATCAGGGCTCATCCTGATCTAGTCTGATTTCATGTAAACTTAAGTAATTGCATCTGCAAAGACATCATTTCCAAATAAGGTTGCATTTGCAGGTGTTGGACCTTAAACCTTGGCCTTAAAACAACTTTGGGTGACCCTATGGAATCCACAACAGTCTCCCATCTAAAAAGCAAAAAGAAAAACCTATTGCTCTCAAGTTGACTATAAGTCATAGTGACTCTATAGTCACAGAGTATGACTGCTCGATAAGGTTTGCAAGGCTCTGTGATCCTTATGGCCTCAGCCTGCCACTTCAGCACTAGAGAAGCTGCTAGTGGGTTCAGACGGTCACTCTTTACGATAGTGCTTCACCATTGTTCCAGTAGGTCTTACTAGTTTGCCCCGTTGCCCACCACCCCTTTCATGATTTTCTTACGTGCAAAATACATTCATCCCCTCCTCAAAACAAGCAAACGCAATGAGTGGATGCTGACTCATAGAACCCTATAGAACAGGGTAGAACTGACTGTGAGTTTCTGAGAGTATAACTCTTTGTGAGAGTGGAAAGTCCTGGGTTTCTCCCTCAGAGTGACTTGTGGGTTCACAGCACTGACCATGTAATTAGTAGTCCAACACTTAACCACTGCACCTCAAGGGAACCTCCAAAATTCTTAGCCCCTTTCAATATCCACTACAATTCTAGAATAACATAAAAATGTTATCAACACAAAGAGTGCCAAATTTCATCTTCTAAATCATTCAAAATAAGTATGGACAAGAATCTGGGAATGGTCTACCCTGAAGCAAAAGTTTTGTTTGTCCACAGACCTGTGAGTATAAAACACAATTATTTGTTTCCCAAAATGCAATGGGTCAAGCATGCAAAAAAAGAGCAACAGGGAGGAAAAAAAAGAAGTCAAAGGTCCTAAACTAATCTAAAAGCTAGCAGACAAAATTTCATTTGATTTCAAGGCTGAATTATGATCTATGTTTTGATTCATCATGTAGGCCATTAACCTCTGAGCCTCATTGGGCTAAAATGTCCTTGCCCTCTAGGCTTACAGTGGTGGCTTGAACCTCCAGAAAAACCCCCACAAAAAACAGCCTTAACCTAATAGTCATTCTTCTCTATTTTTGAAATATAACACTTATTTGCAGCTGAGTAGTTCTACTGGCTAGTTTTCTACCTGTAAAATCCCGCAAGCCCATCCTTCGTTTTCTCCCATTTCTGACCTCCAGTTCATGCATGCTGCTTTTCTTTTAAGAGATGGTTGATTGAATCCAAAGATCACACGCTTTAATCTCTTTAGCAAATGGTTGTCAAGTTACATTCTCTTTCTTGAAAGGGCACATTGTCTGTGTTTCTTTCAATATTGATGCTGTAAGGGACCGTTGGGTCCAGTCTGTGCACCACAGAACAAAACTCTCCTGGGTCCTGCGCCATCCTTACAATTCTCAAGCCTGAGCCCCTTGTTGCAGCCGCTGTGCCAATTCATGTCTTCTTCACTGACCCTTTACCAGAAACGATGTCCTTTCCCTGGCAGAGCCTCTCCCGATAACATGTCCAGAGTAAGTGAGAAAATCTGGCCACTTTTGCTTCTTTGGAGCATTCTGGCTGCACCTTTTCTAAGCTTTTTTGTTCTTCTGGCACGGGAATTTCAATCTTATTGACCAACACAACACCATAATTCAAATGCATCCATTCTATTCCAGACTTCTTTAATCATCATCCAACGTTGATGAGCATATGAGGCAACTGAAAATGCCATAGCATGGGTCAGGAATACTTCAGTCCTAAAGTGAGATCTTTGTTCTTGGACACTTTAAGTCAATCTTGTCTGAGAAGATTTTCCCAGTGCAACATGTCATTGAATTTCTTGTCTGCTGCTTCCATGAGTGTTGATTGTGGATCCAAGTATAATGAAATCCTTGACTACTTATCATGATGTCCTCGATTGGTCAGCAATAAGGATTTGTGTTGTTGTGGATTTTCATTCATTCTGAAGGCTGCAGTCTTTGATTTTCATCAGGAAGTGGTTCAAATCCGCTTCACTTTGTGCAAATGAGATTGTCTTATTTGTGTATATCAGTTTGTTATCAAGCCTTCCTCCAATCCTAATGCCACATTCTTCTTCACACAGCTGAGTAAGAATGGTGAAAGAGTACAGCCCTCACACATAAAGGGAAATCATGATGAAGTGTTAACAAAAACTGAAAACTGCACTAGTGAGAAGAGGCCAAGAATATTGAGCCATCACAATATTATTCCATCAGAAACTCACTCATTCTTCAAGGGTAGAAAGACCTATCTCATAAAAATTTCATTGGGAAACTTTTTCTCATGTATCCTGCAGCCCTAATTTTGCCCCTTCAGAATTTTTGTTCTGCAAATTCAATAGTTAGAAAGAACATGATTCAGGTGCCTTGAGGAGGCCAAAATTGACATCTTGATATGGCATAAACTGAAGAATGTAGAATTTTTCAGGGAAGGGTTCGAGAGAAGGAAATGCTGCCTTCAGAAGTGTGTAGACCCAAATAGAGGATATGTGGAGAAATAATAACTTACATTTTGTTATATTTTTGTTTAATGAAGATTTCTTTGGTTTGTAACAATACTTTTGTTGTTTACCCTCTTAAATCTAGAGTAGTCAGACTCCACTGTCAATCTTTTGTGTAGCTCATAGTTACGTGAATGTTACGGAGATTCTCCTGGTAAAATCCAAATGCTTTCAGTACGCAAAACAAACCAAGCTCACTGCCATCTAGCCAGTGCTGACTCACAATGACCTCCAGTGGGTTTCTGAGACTATAATTGTTTACTGGAGTAGAAAGCCCGATCTTTCTCCCATGGAGCTGTTAGTAGTATCAAACTGCTGACCATGCGGATCATAGCCCAACCCATAACCAGTAGGCCCTTTTAATTTGACCAAATTCATTGGTTAATTTTTCTTGTATTATATGTAATTATTTATAGGATGAACTTCTTGAGATTAGGAATGATTTGATACTTCTTTCTATCCCAGAGCACAATTACCTCATTGATTTACAATTCTTGCACCCTACAAGTGGCTAGTCAATACTATTGAATGAGTGTTCCATCAATTCCTAATTGTATACTTAATTAAACAATTGAATGCTATTGCATAATAGCCAACAGAAGATCAGCAATGAGATAAAATGTAACTTACTGCCATAGAATTGATTCTGCCTCATAGTGACCCTATTGGGTGGGATAAGCTGTCCCTGTGGGTTTCCTAGACTTGGCAGAAATAGAAAGCCTCATCTTTCTCCTATGAAGCAGCTGGTGGTTTTGAACTGCGGACCTTGTGATTAGTAGCCTGTTATGAAACCCAAAATGCCACAAAGTCTCCTGAGATAAAAGATAGCTAGTGAAAACAGTTAATTGGTATGCATTCTAAATGCAGATTCAAAACAGATATCAATGCTCTTAGAATAGTATAATCACTATTTTAGCTTTCTTTAAAATTTGTTTTATTTAGCTAAAATTAACACAACATGCAATCCATTAACTCATTCATATTAAGAAGGGTTGCGTCATCATCAGTACAATCAATTTTGGAACATTTGCTTTCTTCTCATATCCATTGGTGTTGACTACCCATTTCCCCAACACTCACCTTTCGTGCCCCCAAGTAATTATTTCAGTTACTGTATTCATACATCCTGTGTTTCCTATACAGAAAAGCTAAATGTTTATCAGACTGCTTGTTAGTTATTACCTTAATGTTTCTCCTAACAAAAACACATGTATATATTTATATTAAATAAAAGTAAGCCAAAAATATATATTTCTCAAGGATGACACTGAAGCTGTAGCTAGGGGAGAGGGACATGTCTGATGAGAGCACATGGGAGCAAATGAATGGGGAGGAAGAGAGAGTGGAGCACATCCTGGCCCACCAGGCCTGGAGGACAATATCCCTGCTCCAAACAGCCCATGCACAGAGTGGACCATATGGCTGGCCCCACTATTAGACACAACATCCCTCGCTGACCCTTGGCCCTACAGGGGACAACACTGGAGAC